GGCATGGGCACTTGGGGTTTTGATTAGGAATTGGTTGCCAGTTCCAATTTCCATAAGGGTGTCTCCTGAATTTTCTAAGGTTCTTATGGTTTGAGGTTTTATGTTTAGGTCTTTGATCTATTTAGAGTTGATTTTTGTGTCTGGTGATAGGTAGAAAACTTGATATCATTTTAACTTATAAGATGCCCCCAGATGTTAGTCTGTTCAGCATTAAAAAAATTTTTCTGTGTTATTTTTGATATTGTGTTTCATTATTCAAGCACAGTGTCAGTAAATAGAATATGGGCTGTCTATTAAGATGTTTGCTGTTACTTTATGTAGTAGGAAAATATGAGAAAATTAGTCTAGATTATTTTTCTCAGGATTAATGGCATCAATATTTTCTTCTTTCACATACCTTGAAACCAGATCTTATTGAGAGAAAAGGATGTGAGTGCTTGACTGATGGGAGGACAACTGCACATGATAATATTCTGGGGAGGGTTGTATCAATGAGATGACCTTCTTCAGAGAACTATGCTTATACCTACATATATTGCTCTAGCCCAAAGATTTCAGTGTTCAGGGATTAGTAATGTAGATTGGAAAGGTCGTTTTATTTCAGGTCCTAAAGCTTCAACTCTACTTAATAAGCCATTCAATAAATACCTCTGGTTATAACATGGATAGAGATAGTATGAATGAATCCTATTCAGTGCAACTTTATCCATAATGGGATATTTTTTGAGCACCTACTATATGTAATGCATATGGTTTACAACATTAAAATGTTGGGTGTATGTGCCACTGATAATTCTGTACTGACTACTTCACACATGATATATGTATACACTAAAGCATACCTAGGTTAAATAATATAATGATCCAAGCAATGTATTTTGCTTGTAACCTGTAGTAGAAAATGTTTTTTGATAGAAAAACTGCTTCTTTTATAGCAATTAGGTTTAGATTTATGTGACTTGCCAGTGAAATGTTATCTAGATTCTGTGGTATATTTTATGGGAATGAATTCTTTAAATATTAGTGAAACTGCCATAGTTAGAAATTAGAATTTCCATATGGGAAGCTAACCTTGTAAATAGTCACATTTGATTATATTCTGTTGCCAAAAACTGTAAGTATTAAGCATGTTGGTAAAACTAATCCTTTCAAATGTGAGATAGGTATAAGAACATGTAAGTGCTACTATTTCTCACTATAGACTTTCCTTTGGGGTATACTCTAGCATGAAAATTATTTTCCCCAAAAATAAATGTCACTGTTGCTGAGTCCTGTTTGACTCCAAAATTATTTTATACTCATTGAATTTATAACCTTGACTTTCATGAATATCCTCTGGGTTTACTTCCTATCATGGGGAAAGAAAAAAAAAGTATTGCTAGAGGCTTGCTAATTAAAATCCTTCAATATGCAAGTATGATTGAGAAAGACTTAAAATCTCATTTAATTAAAAGGCATCTACTTCAAAATTTGTTTTACGTTAGGATCTATATAGATACTCAAATATTTTCAGTTGATTTATATAAAATCTCCTAGAACTGAAGGTTTGCGTATGTGAAGCATGCCTGCCATGAGAGTTGATTCCATCTAATTTTTGGTCTCACTTTTTTCATTTGGTAGCAAATGAAAGCATTTTGTGACTCCGTTTCTCTGCAAAATTAAGTAATGCTGGTGGCCTCTTTTTAATCCCTTAACTGTTATTGTGCATCGAATACTGAATTGGTAATCAAAGCTCCTTAGAAGTGATAATTAAAATTACGTTAAGCAATAGAAAATTAGTATTTTAACAATCTGAATTGGAGTGATTTTTCAACTTCATTAAGATCTTTCCTGATAACTCTTTGATTTGGCATATTCTCTCTTGTCAATGAGTGCTAACTGAGGAATTTGATGTCATTATAATGTTAACCTAAGAGAGATATAAATATAAAACTGAGAATGAAAGTGGGAGAGACAGAAAGAGAGACAGAGAGAGAGAGAGAGAAAGAGAGAGAGAGAAAGCAATCAAGGAAACATGGCACTGAAAGAACCTAGTGACCTGGAGAGAAATCAGGTGGAGATGAAGAATGTGCCTAATATAGGAAAAGGGATGCCTTTTACATTTTAATATAAGAGAGAAGAAAAATATGTGGGAATGCATACAACCATTTATATGAAACTAAAGGAGTTGTTGTTCATTTCTTTCTATTTTTTCTGGGAAGAAAGAGGTGAGTTCTTAGAAGTTGGAAAATAGGTAGAGAAGATTTAGAGGAAATGTGGAAAGAAAGTGAGAAGGTAACTCATAAGAATGACCAGACAGTGTTGAAAAACTAACCAGTAGACTACATATTAAAGTATCATCAGTGTGGTATTAGCATTTTCTTTATTTCTGCTTGGTAGTCTTGTTTTAAACACAAAGAAGGCGGTTGGACTGATCTCAGTCTGAAATTTTGCCAACCTTTCATGGCAGAACACTGGAACAAGGGGTCAACCATACTGGTAAAAGAGTGGTTGACTTAGCCAGGGAGGCTGAACTTGTCAGAAACAAATAACTCATTTTGCATGAGCAAAGGCATTGCTATTATTGGAAAAAATAGAACAGTCTATATAGATAGAATTTAAGATAGAGGAAAGGGAGGGGTGGGGGGGGGGAAAGTTAAGGGAGGTAATGACTACACATTAGTGTCACCTGGGAATGTATCAAAACTACCCGTGCCTAGATCTTGTCCTCAGATTCGGGTAGAATTGGTGTGTGGTATGTTCTGGACAGTGGATTTTTATTTTACAGACAGAGTTGGATACAAGTGTTTAGAACCTTTTATAAAGAAACTTGTTTTTTGCAAAGTGAGCTGGCATTTTCTTTTCAAGGGAATAGAGAACTAGCAAAGATTTCCAAAAAAGGAGTAATATAGGTTATTTAGTATTTTAGAAAACTATATTTTCCTCAGTGATTGACAGATATCAAAAAAGAAGCAATTAGGAAAAAAAAGGGAAACTAGTGGAGAGAATATGGCATTATTCTGGATCAGAAATGGCGGGATCCTAAACTTGAAACTGACAAAGGAACTGTAGATTAGGGGGCATGTTTGTGTGCTTCAATATAAGAGTTTATAACATGTATTAGTGGGTGTGTAGAATGATGGAGAAGAGACAAAGATAACTGGAGACTCTTGTTTTGAATAGTTTTGTTGGCTTTGTAATTGCTACGTAACACATTACCACAGACTTCGAAGCTTGAAACATTTATTATCTCACAGTGTCCATGAGTCAGGAGTCCAGGAATGGTTTCCCTAGATTCTATGCTTAAGTGTCTCACCAGGTTACAATTAAGGTGTGCACCAAAGTTGAGGCCACTCAGAGGCTTGATTGAGGAAAGCTCCTCTTCTGGGTTCCCTCAGGGTTTTAGCAAAATTTATCTGCACGCAGCTATTGAACTGAATGTCCTGTGTTCTTGCTGGCTGACAGCCAGAGGCTGCCCTAAGATCCTAGAGGCAGCTCACAGTTTTCACTTCGTGGCCATCTGTCGGTCTTTCATAGCATGACTGCTTGCTTCTTTGAGGCCAGCAAGAGACTACTGCTCTACAGAAATAACCCAATCCCACTCTTAAGTGTTTTACCAAAGCCAGGCCTACCCAGGATAATCTCAAACTGATTAACTCAAACTGATCAATTGATTTGGCATGTTAATTATATCTGTAAGTTTTCTTCACCTTTGCCATATGCCATAAACTGATAATGGGATCAATATCCTATCACATACATGGTTCCTGCCACACTCAAGGAGAGGCATACACAGAAGGGTACCATAATCAAATGATGTCCAGTTAATTGAGATGATAAAGACAAGAGAATTAGAATGTTTTAGGAGATTGATGGCCTCAGTTTTAGACATGTTGAATTTGAGGTAATTGGGCATCCAATTAGAATGTAGTTTAGGGTTTGATAGAGAGATCAGATTGGAGATACATATTTGGTAGTGGTCAGTAGAGGTAATAGTTAAAACAATGAGATTACCTAAGAGAAAGACTGTAGCAAGAAGTTAACTAAGTACATAAGCAAGAGTCAAGTAAAGTTAGAACTTCTGGAGCTGTACTTGAATCTCTTGATTCCAGAGCAATATCCCATTATACAACTTTACACTGTTCTTTCACTTTCTTCTTTCAGTGATATCTTATTCTTCCTACTTTGTAGCTTACTCTCTGTTCTCCTCTCACCCTCAAGTCACACTATCTGGAAGTCAGAATCAACATCTTTTAGTGAAAGCCTTACAGATAATAGACACACAAAAAATATTAACTCTGTTATGATCCCTGTTTCACATAGTGAATTGCAGGAGTTGTCTCATGGGGAACACAAGACCCAATGAAGGGAGATGATACCATCATTAGTCCTGAACAGTTTCATTTCTGCTTATCAGAAACCAGAACTCACCATGGACATTTTTTCTGTTTCTTCCATCCCATAATTGCCTATGACGTGAACAGACTGGTACAAATTTGAATACAGATGTCATCCTATTTATTTATCTCCTGAAACATTGGTCTGTTTATATGAGTATAAAATTATTGATGCCACCACAGAAATATTGTTGAGAAATTTGAGCTGTGATAATGGAAAGAAAAAGTGAATTTAATTAGTACATTTTGTCAGGACTTTCCTTTCTTCTCATAAATTCTTTTCTTTCAGGTTATATTCAAGAAGACTGTGTCATCCCTTGTCCATTTGATTGCAAGTTAAGTGATTGGTCTAGTTGGGGGTCTTGCAGTTCATCTTGCGGAATTGGAGTGAGAATTCGATCCAAATGGCTAAAAGAAAAACCTTACAATGGAGGTCGACCATGTCCCAAACTGGATCTCAAGAATCAGGTAAAGTGCATGAAGTGATAAATAAAAAGCTAAAAGCTGTCTTAATTATTATTTCCTGTTGAAATTGAAGTCTTTCTCATAATCTCAGAAGAGGGGTCAAGAGGGCCGAAATTAAAATAATAGAATTAGTAATAGAGTCTTCTTCCACTCCTAGGTAGTGCCAAGACCAACTTGGTATCCTTAGCAATGATGACATTTACATAATTAAATCTAACTGATTTTAAATTATCTTAAAGTGTAATTTGATATTATAAAAGTTATATGTATGCAAATATTTAAAAAATAAGTAATAATATAAGGATAATGTCAGTTACTTTATAGCAATATACTTAGTAGTCTTATCTAGTCTGTTTTTCCTTCACTTAATTTTTATCCTAATTTTTTTCATTCTCAATTCTGCCAATCCCTCCACAATTCTTTAAGTCTTTTTTAAGCTATTATTCTCCCTGCTTCATTGAAAGTCATGGGTATTTTCAGAAATATACCCTGGTGGATACCTTTCTATTTAGAAGTCTAAGAAAAATTCATCTTGAGTAACCAAAGTTGAGGAGAGTATTTCGGTTGTCTTTACCCATGTAATAGAGTCTAAGATTTAGTTAAGAATTATAATAAATAACTTAAATTGTTTCCATGATTGCATTCTGATTATTCACTTAGGACTTATATTTTGTTTGGATTGTTTTTGTTTTGTTTTTTTTGTCAATAAAATAGGTGGAGCACAAGATGATGACAGTTACAATTCTCTTATTCTTAGAAAGATGAAGTGTGTCTCATATGAATATGTAGATCCTTTGTGATTGGGAAACACTTAACAGAATAGTTACACACTTTTATTACTAATGCTATTATATTAGCTTCTGTCCTCTTAATCCCATTTTGATCAGACTCTATATATGTTGCTTAATGTAAGTGAAATCCCATGCATCTACATGTAATTAATTTTGATAGCATGTCTAGTATTACTTAGACTTAAATGTCGTGTATCAATTCAACATCTCTAGCTATTTTTTCCTAGGGTTTTATAAATGCCATATAACTACTGAAATAAAGATAGCAAGATAGATAATTTAAGTTCTAAGACAGGAAATAATTATTATGCTAGTTTTCATTTTTAAGATTATGTGGTAAAATAATGACTATAGTTTCTTTACTCAAAGAAGATGGAAATCTTTTAGGGAAAACAAAGCAAACAATTTAAAATCAACATATAGGTTCCCCCAAAATATCCTACAAGTACAGAGTTTAGTGAAGGGAAAAGTGAAATATAGTTAATGGAAATAAGAAAGAAATAATCAGAGCAGAGACAGTCGGATGACATAAGCCTGAAAAAGAAAGCAATAATACAGATTTATGGTCAGGAGAAGACTCTCAGGTGAATACTTGGTGTACAGACTATTTGGTCATCCCAAGGGGATTTCTCAGGTATTTAAACTGGAAATGAACTACTAAGCATTTATAGTTATAAATGATCTGTGATAATTCTTGTTATGTCTTCCTCAAAACCATCAATGAAAGCTAAGCCTTTATAGCATTAGTGTTAAACACTAATTGTAATATGCTGATTTTATGAACTAGGAAATTATCAAGGGAATAAAAGGACTTTATTTGAGCACAGACTTTAGGAATATAGTCTCATTATCCAAAGGCAAATGTCCAGAAAAATGGCTATAATATTTGAGAGTATGTAGGATGATGGCATTTGGGTGCCTGTGTGACTTCAAGGAAACTTGTTCTAAACACTTAATTAACATATAACACTTATATCCTTGAGAGGTAATACAGCTAGAAATTAGGTCCAAGTTTAAGAATAATTTATATACATTCAATAAATGAAAATTGATTGCAAGGATTATTTCTGACTTTTGAGTTCCAGAGGAGGATTGTAACCTTTCAAAGACATTTATTATTTGTGATGCTCAGAAATGCATCCTGAGTTTTAATGATCAGAAACAGAATTTAGTTTGGCACTTATTCTATTATAAAGAGGTTTCACATATCAAGTGTGCATGTGGCTAAATTAAACTTGAATTTAAAAAATCTTTACCCCAATTCTTACTTTACATCCTTAAACATTTTTATTTATAAATTGACAAATTAGAGTTGTATATCTTTTGGGGGTACAAAATGATGTATATGGAATAGTTAAATCAAGCTAATTAACATACTCATCTCCTCAGATATGTATCATTTTTGTGGTGTGAACATTTGAAATTTACTGTCTTAACAATTTTGAAATGTGCAATATGCTAGTGTTCGCTTTGTTTACCATGCTGTGCAACAGATCTCAATTTTTTAAAAAAATTTATTTCGACTGACTGAGGCTTTGTGCCCTTTGATCATCATCTCCCCAATCTCTCTACCTCCCAGCCTCTGGCAACCACCATTCTACTCTCTGTTTCTATGAGTTTGATAGATTTAGATTCCACATATAAGTAAGAACATGCAGTCTTTGTCTTTCTGTGCCTGGCTTACTTCACTTAACATAATGTTTTCCAGTCCCTTTCTTTTTAAGGCTGAATAGTGTGTGTGTGTGTGTGTGTGTGTGTGTGTGTGTGTGTGTGTGTGTCCGTCCATTCATCTGTTGATCCCATACTTGGATATTTAAGTTGATCCTGTAACTTGGCTGTTGTAAATAGTGCTGCAGTGAACATAGGAATGCAGACATTTCTTCGACATACTGATTTCAGATTCTGGGAATAAATACCCAGATGTGAGATTGTTGAATAATATGATAATTCTGTTTTTAGTTTTTTGAGGACCTTCCATGTAGTTTTCCATAATAGCTTTACTAATTTCCATTCTCACCAACAGTGTATAAGGGTTCCCTTTTCTCCACACATACTTTATATGTTAAGATAAGTTAACTGATAAGGTCAATAAGTAATAGGCCCTCTCTCTCACTCATAAGTCTGTGAATGGCAAGGGCAAATACTATTGTGAAAAATCTTAAATGTGAAATTAATTCTTCTCAGAGCGATTCCTTTTCTAAATCAAGCACACATATCTGTGAGTGTATGTGTGGAAAGGTATCTGTGGTGACTTTATTATATATTTGTTCTTCCATGTAGTAGAATCCTGTTTGTGTGTATGTATGTATATGTACTGTACTGTATATGGAATTTTGTTTGAAGTTATTCCTATTTTCTTAATTTATCTGACAATAAATTGGATTGTCAGCAAGTTTCATTGCTTAGAAAATATTCCCCAGCTTCTATTATTTATGGCAATTCTTCTGTAGAGGAGGCCACTGTTTATCTAAACTAGACATATGGTATAGTTAGCAATATATCAACTGAGGCTCTTTCGTAAAGTTCACTTTTACTACTGACTTTGGGTTATTCGTCTCCTTTCCAATTTGTTTTAAGGTTTTCTTAAGTTTCTATTTGCTTTTCTATTTTTGGAGGCAGATTAATACTCTATTATCTATTCATCCATAAGTAAGAGCTTAAAAAAGTAACCAAATTACAGCATTGAAAAGGCCCATATCTCTAGTATATGGACATGGAGAAAATACATTATGGATCAGATTAAGCCTAACGTACTATTCATAAGAATATTGAGTAGATATTAATGTGTGTGTATGTGTCTATGTAAATATCAGCATACCCTCATATCCCTACTCATTCTCCTTTGATTCTCTTTAGAACATGAGGACTTTCTGAAGGCAAGGGCTGTCTTTCTACTTTTGTAACTCATTCCAACCCATTGTACACTCTCTTGTGGGTTGTCAAATTGTATTCACTGGAAGCCTTATTTGAAAAGTAGCCTTCTCTCTGGATGAGTGGTGCCTAGTTCCATAGAAATAAGCAAATATATTTGAACTCTGGTCTCTTATACTGTGATTTGTCGTAAGAATTTTCAAAAACATGAGCTCTTCTAGAAGAAAAAAAAAACAGTCATCAAATTATTATTGCCCAAATAGTGTTCCAAGATTTGCCTGAAACATCTTGGGCGTTTTGATCCCCATTGAAATCTAATACAGTTATATAATATGAGAAAGTTGCTATTATGTACACAGGCTCATAAATCGGTCTGAATCTGCTAGCAAAATCAATATTTATAATCTTTTATAAAAAGTCTTCCTTTTAAACCCAAACCTATCAACATGATAGTGCTTTCTCTAGGAGTGCCTAAGTGACAACAACACTTGAGTAGCTTTCTGCTAAGTATATTTGTGATGCTAAATAGTTTGTGCATGTAGCTTGTCCAAAGCTCTTATCTAGGCATAAAACGTCTTCTAAATAGTTTATTGGATTATCAGATCAGTTGGCTCATGCCCTTGGCTCTGCTTTGCATAGTAAAGTACATAATAGATTTTATTTTTTTACAGTCTATAACGTGTTGAGTGGATTTAAGTGCACTTGTACTATTTTTACTATATCTTTTTTTGAAATGTTGCCTAATAGAAGATTAAATATGAAGACATTAAGGCTCCATTGGACTTACATTTCCCTTTATGCATTCTTCACACAATTGAAGCCAAAGGAGTTCTAGAAAACTATATTTTGTTTATAAGTTGCAAAGCAGTATGTTCACAGTTTGTATGAATAACAATCTTATTTGAAGATTCATTACTTGTACTTTAAAAAAATACATGCTATTTAAATGCATTCTTGAAAGCATTTTGATTATGTTTGTAACTGGATGAGCAGATATAAATTAAATATGTGTGTTCTCTAGAAACAATTGCTATTTTAAACGTGTGTCTTCTCCCCCAAAGAAAGGTGGTCTAAATTTGGAAACGGTGAGTATTATGCATTTTATTTTTCATAGCAGGGTAATAATGATTTTAAGAATGTATTCTTTCCAAATATATACAGAAACATTTTAGCTTGAGCACTTCCTCCTTAGAAGATGATTTGGGGATTAGAAAAATTTCTGTGGAAAAGTAGTTTATGCACATTTTGATACTGCTGCATTAACTATTATACGCAGCATGTTAGGACATGAAAATAGAATATCTTTTATTCTATTCAAGTGTTTGTTTACCTAGAAAAATG